CTCTCTCTCTCTCTCTCTCTCTCTCTCTCTCTCTCTCTCTCTCTCTCTCTCTCTCTCTCTCTCTCTGTGTGTGCCGAGGGGATGAGATCGTGAGAATACTCTATTCCACAGGTCAACAGCTCTAGGCTCTAGCCCAATACTCGGTTGCTTCTTTGCATCTGATGAGGCAGTGGATCATGTCTTCTTGTTCTTGATGTGAGCATAGGAGGCAGAGGCCAGATCTGTTAGGATCGTTTCTTCCTGCTTCTTATGTTGAGCCGTTGATTGACGGGCAGGGATGCATACGTTATGGGCCATTCGAGGCTCCTGATTTTAAGCCGTCTGATCCTCTTGTATTTACTCCAGTGTATCTTGGCGATCCGTTTGGCATCATCCCCGATCAGTTGTGACCATCTACGGTTAATTGTGGGTGTTGGGCCTTTGCCTTCAGTAGCATTCTGTAGCCTATTCTCACTGTGTACTCAGTTATGGGGATGGGGTTTATCTTCTTTGAAAATGCAGGGGTTTATCTTCTTTGAAAAGGCAGGAGCCCTCCAGCACCCCTCAATTAAGTCAAATGATGACTCAATTTCCACTCTTGAATAGCGGTTCACAATTGGGAAATTTGATTTTGGCCAGAGTCGCAGTGTCCGTATTTTATAAACTTTAAGGAGAAAGGCTTCCATTATCCCTTTTCCAAGTTTTCTTTTTGCAAAGCTCCTCTCCCAGGACAACTCTGGGTTGAATTGTGAGGTCCTCCCGGCCTCTATCGGTTTTTGGAATGTAATGATCTGAGTGGCTTTTTTTTTTTATAAAGGAAAAGGAAGGATGCCTGCACTATGGTCGAAAGTCGAAACACGGGCTGGATATGTTTCCGCACACAGTCATATCAATTTTTCTTTTTTTCTTCTTTTTGCAAGGAGTATGCGTGTGAACAATATACAGAAAACCAAGTTGCGAAATCACACAGATGTCTGAGTAGTCGTGTACAAGCAGAGGACACAATTGCACTGAGAATCCATCCAAATAGAGCAATACAATGAAGTAATGAGCCAATGTTCAAGCCCGTAGGCCACACCAACACAGTATCCAAAGTCGCTCCTCTCTGTCTGGCACTCAGTGCCCAGCCTACTCTACTCGACTATCCTACCTACAGCTGTGTTCACGCAACAGGCTCACTTCGACTATCCTACCTACTTCTTTGCATCGTCCAGCATGTTAGGCCACCAGAATCGCCGTACTAAATTAGCACTAGTCTTCTTGTAGCCGAAATGTCCTATTGCATCGTGGCACTCGCCTAAAAATAAACTACGCAAAATTTCCCTAGATGGAACAACCTCCCTCTTAAACCCTGCCTTTTCAAGAAAGAGTAACCCAGTGCCACCTAAAAATAAACTATGCAAAATTTCCCTAGATGGAACAACCTCCCTCTTAAACCCTGCCTTTTCAAGAAAGAGTAACCCATCCACCATCACAAACTCGTCAGTGGTGGTCTTGTCTTTGGCCTGCAGTTTGTTGATGATATCCATCGTGATGGGATCTTCCTTGTAGGCTTCCCCCAAAGATCGAGTAACGTCCTCAGATAAGCCAAACTCATAAATCAGTGCACCTAGGTAATCTGCCCTTCTAGACAACGCATCCGCAACCTTGTTGTACTCTCCCTTCACATAGTCTAGTTTGAAGTCATATTGATCTATGACTTCAATCTAGCGTTTGAGTTCATCGGAGGAACTGGTCGTGTCTTGATCCACTTGAGGGTCTGATGGTCAGTTCTCAAGTAAAAGAACCTTCCTAACAGATAGTGCCTCCAGTGGACAAGTGCCTTGTAGAGAGCGTAAAACTCCCTCTCGTAGGTGGACTTTGTCAACTTCTTTGATGGCATATTTTTACTCATATACTCGACCGGTCTCAACTCTTTCCCTTCCTGCTGAGCCAGCACTACGCCAATGCCATATTCGCTTGCGTCAGTGGTTACAACGAATGACCTTTGCGGGTCGGTTACCATGAGAACTTTATGGTGTGCGAGTGCATGTTTCAAACGCTTGAAAGTTGCCTCACACTCGTCGGTCCAGTCCCACGGCGTATCAAGTCGAGTTAGATCAGTCAAGGGAGATGTGATAGTGCTATAATTCTTAACGAAATTGCGGTAATAACCACACATTCCCAAGAATGATCTGACCTCAGTCACAGACTGGGGTCGTGGCCAGTCACGTATGCTAGCCACCTTTGCATCTTCATGCCTAATCCCATCCGCAGATACTTCATGACCCAAGTACAAGATTCGAGTGCGTCTGAACTCGCATTTCTCTGCGTTTATCTTATACTTGTGCCGCCGAAGGAGTGAAAGTACTTTGTCTACATGCTGAGCATGCTCCTCGACAATCTTACTAAAGATAAGTATGTCGTCGAGGTACACAGCGACGAACTTATCTAAGTAGTCGTGGAAGATCCTATTCATGGCGTGCTGGACTGTACCCGACACATTGCAAAGGCGAAAGGGCATCACCACAAACTTGTATAGACCGTACCTGGTCTAGAATGCGGTTTTGTGCTGGTCCTCTGGTCTTATCGCAATTTGATGGTAGCCGGATTCCAAGTCTATCTTTGTATAGTACTTGCATCCCTGCACCCTATCCAATACGTCGTCTATGTGAGGTAGAGGCTCTGCGTTCTTCACTGTGATGGCATTGAGGCCTCTATAATCAATGCACATCCTTAGTGTTCCCCCTTTCTTTGGAACAAATAGAACGGGTGAGCCAAAGGGGGAGGTGCTAAGCCGAATCCACCCCTTCTCTGTGAGCTCTTTCAGTTGTCGTCGAAGCTAGTTCAACTCGGTCGGAGCCATCCTATAGATTCTCCCTTTAGGTGTCTTGCTACCTGGGATGATCCCTACGGCATGGACAACCTCCCTGTCTATGACCCTCGTAGGCTCCTCAAACAGATCAGGGTACTTAGCGATGATGATCTCTATCTCTGGGGGTGTTTTAACGATCTCCCCTTTTGCAGTGACATAGACTAAGTACATACCTTCCTCTTGGTTCTGTTTATAATAGTTATAGAAAGCAGGTGCGCATAAGCACCCATAGGAGTCTATTAACCTACTGGGTTTATACTTGGCCAGTCTAACAGTCCTCCCATTAGGCAACTCCTGCTTTAACATCTTCTTGTCCCAGTCAAACTGGGGCTTGGCAACCTCGAGGTAGTACATGCCCAACAACTTGTCGAAAGGCAAATCGTCTCTCACCAAGAATGATATCTTACGACTTAACTCTCCCCCTGGGTAGGAGAAAGCACAGACTACGTCCTTCGCGTAGTCTTCCACCATCATGC